AATTATGACTGACATAAACCTTCCTCCTTGAAAAGATCTAGAGAATTTGTTTCGGTCCAATTGTTTAAGAGACATAATTCTTTTTTGGTCCATTTGTTTAAGAGTCATAATTCTTTTTTGGTCCAATTGTTTGAGAGTCATAATTCTCATTCTTAAGAAGACTTTTATTGAATTCTAAGAAATCTCTCCTATGCCTATTTATAAAACTATGAAGTGCCCTATGCCTATTCATGACAACAAGATGTGACGAATAGAGTTTTAGAGTGCCTACTCGATGCGCGGATTCGGCTTTCGTATTTGATGTGAGGCGCGGACACACTCTTAGGTCCACTTCAGAATCCAGACAAGCGTACAATGCTGAACAGTGTGCCGATATCTGCTTGGCTGAGGAATGCAAAGCTTTTGTTTGGGACGAAGTGAATGAGTAAGTGGTGATGATTTTGTAAAATTGATGTTTTTTTATTGAAATGAAGAATTCTTTGACTGCAAAAATTTTCTTCCTCTCAATGCGTTTCTCAGTTAAGCTTTATGACAGGAAGTGCCGATTCTTCAACTCTACTAGTGGAGAAGACTTGGAACGTATTGTCAACTTCACTTACTATGAAAACAATTGTCTAAATTGTAAGTCACTTGTAATACGGCTGGATTATGTTTGCACATCTTGTTTTGGCAAGGTAGCGCCAATAAAAAGAGGACGGCTTGACGTGTTTTTTTTTCAATTCGAGGTGGATGACAAAAAAAGACGAATACGGCTTAATTTTCAGTTAAGGGAAGCGTAGATTGCGGCCAATGTGGCATGGCTGCTGAGTACTTCCACAGTACCTTCGATTTCTTTACTCATCATTCCCGGCTAGTCATTATGTTTGGCTACTGTACCGTTGTGTCCATACTTTGATATATCCTTGCGTCGACGATTAGAATCTATTCAAGTAGAGGCGCCTCTTTTGTAACGTTCAAATCATATATATACGAGCTTTAAATGCAGGTTACAGTATCAACTGTTGCCTTATAGGCTTCATCTGGCATCATTTTTGTTTTCAGCCGAATCACGTTGCCCGAATGGCCGGATCGAGTTTTTGCAAATAAAACATGCAGATGTTCCTTCCTTTGGTGTTTCTGTGGGTGTTAAAAGCATACGAAATTGTATGAAAGAATGTGTCGATACAACTTTATTCCATTGTAAATCATCCCAGGTAATTTTTTGTAGAATTGAAGAATCCTCCAGTATCAACAAAGTTTGCAGTTTGATCCCGTTTCAAGCGAATGTTTTGTGTCGAACGAGGCTTCAGATGCAGCTGTTTCATCTGCAAATCTCGACATGTACGAAGCATTTTGTTCAACTGCCGCTGAAGGAGCAACGACCTGTAACCGACCGTATGCTTATGAAAAACTCATCACGTCGCGTCTCCTCGATGCACCGAAAATTCAAGAGCTGAATAGTATGTACAGGAATTTTTGAACTACTCGTTCGCCATTTCGATTTGGTTTAAATGTACCGTAGTTCAACTATGCGCACGGCTACACTAGTCTTTTTATAGCAATCATTTTACATGAACTTTTTTTTATATGAATAACGAGTAATTAATGACGAAGACCGTCGAGAATTCTCTAGGGGGGCATGACGAAAGTTTGCAAGG